TGTGATAAGGGGAAGGTGTGGCTGAGGAGGATGTGATCAGGGGAAGGTGTGGCTGAGGAGGATGTGATCAGGGGAAGGTGTGGCTGAGGAGGATGTGATCAGAAGGTGTGGCTGAGATGTGTTCAGGGAACGTGTGGCTGAGGAGGATCTGATCAGGAAGGTGTGGCTGAGGATGTAGTCAGTGGAGAGGTGTAACTGAGATGTGAACAGAAGGTGTGGCTGAGAAAGAGATGTGAACAGGAGATAATTGTGGCTAGGAAGAGATGTGAACTGGAGATGAATGGCTAAAAGGACATCATGAAGATGGATGGTGTGGCTGAGGAGAGATATGTGAAAGAGATGGTGTGTGGTTGAGAGGATGGGGATGGTGTGATTTGAAGATGTGAACAGGATGGGTGTGGCTGAGAGATGTGTGATCAGGGAAGGTATGGCTGAGGAGGATGTGACCAGAGAAGGTGTGACTGAGGAGGATGTGAACAGGAGATGGTGTGGCTAAGAAGGAAGTGAACAGGGATGGTGTGGCTGAGGAGGATGTAAACAGGGGATGATGTGGTTGAGGAGAATGGGGATGGTGTGGTTGCGGAGGATGTGCACAGAGGATGATGTGGCTGAGGAGGATGTGAACAGGGATGGTGTGGTTGAGGAAGATGTGAACAGAGGATGGTGTGGCTGAGGAGGATGTGAACAGAGGATGGTGTGGCTGAGGAGGATGTGAATAGGGGTGGGTGTGGCTAAGGAGGATGTGAACATGGGATGGGGGAACTAAAGATGAAGATAATGAAAATGATGTATATTGTTAAAGATGACGAGGATGTGATAATGTTGATACCCTACTGGTCATTAATGTTACAGTAGTGCCATAATAGTGTTACAGTAGTGCCATAATAGTGTTACAGTAGTGCCATAATAGTGTTACAATAGTGCCATAATAGTGTTACAGTAGTGCCATAATAGTGTTACAGTAGTGCCATAATAGTGTTACAGTAGTGCCATAATAGTGTTACAATAGTGCCATAATAGTGTTACAGTAGTGCCATAATAGTGTTACAGTAGTGCCATAATAGTGATACAATAGTGCCATAATAGTGTTACAGTAGTGCCATAATAGTGTTACAATGGTGCTATAATAGTGATACAATAGTGCCATAATAGTGTTACAATAGTGCCATAATAGTGTTACAAGTGCCATAATAGTGTTACAATAGTGCATAATAGTGTTATATTAGTGCCATAATAGTGTTACAATAGTGCCATAATAGTGTTACAATAGTGCCATAATAGTGTTACAATAGTGCCATAATAGTGTTACAATAGTGCCATAATAGTGTTACAATAGTGCCATAATAGTGTTACAATGGTGCCATAATAGTGTTATAGTAGTGCCATAATAGTGTTACAATAGTGCCATAATAGTGTTACAATAGTGCCATAATAGTGTTACAATAGTGCCATAATAGTGTTGCAATAGTGTTATAATAGTGTTACAGTATTGCCATAATATTGTTACAATAGTGCCATAATAGTGTTACAATAGTGCCATAATTGTGTTGCAATAGTGCCATAGTAGTGTTATAGTACTGACATAATAGTGTTACAATAGTGCCATAATAGTTTTACAATAGCACAATAATTGTATTACAGCAGAGCTACACACATACAACAATATTACTGCAATATTACCAAAGTAGTACACTAGTATTTAACTTATACACCAGTGATACAACAATAGGGTTACAAGAAAAAACATAAAAAAATCAATAGAATTACACGATCATCTCAACAGTACAATACTGCACATCAGTAGTACAACTAATGTTGCATTAGAGTTATTATACCTATTGTTACAATAGGTATAATAATATTACGATAACATTACAATATTACATACTGATATTAATACTTGATCCCATATCTGCATAGCACTAGGAGGTAGCGTGGCCGGCACTGGACTTTACCGTCTTCACTTCCCCAACTTATGAAGATATGGATCTATTTACAATTGTATGGAGTGGGAGTGCCCTGAGAGCGAACAAATGACGCTAATCATGGAAAGGATGCAATATATCCACTCACCCGCTTTAGCCCTAGTGTTACAATAGCAATATAATGAAACTAAAATTTTATCTCTTACATTATAACATTGTTTCTGTGGTTGTACGAACAAAGGCTTTTCATTCCTTTAATGGCCAGTCACACACTTCTTTACCACTCTTTTTTCTACCTCTGTTTCTAGTGACATACGCTAATGAAATCCATCCCATCATTCTCCTTCAATTCAATTCCAGTCGCGACTCACATCATTCTTATCATACTTCTCCTATTCATTGTAAGCTACATTCAGTCGAACTTCTTCATCATGAAAGTACCCCACTTCTCTTCCTTCTCCTTTAATGAATTTCCTATCCCTTTTCGTTTCCCCTTCCACATGCAATTTATAACTCTGTAAAAATGAGGTATACACTCATGTCTCATGACACAGCTAAATTATTGAGTGTGTTCTAAGAAGTCCCAGCTTGAGTATAAGTCTCATATATCGTCCTTCAGAAGGCACACTGCCAGGTCTACCTCACTTCATTCACAACAGTTAAAACACGCTCTCTTAACACCTGTACGTAGAAGTAACTTAACAAAGACCAATAAGTTTAAACGTTTATTTTTAATCGCCCCACTTGTCGTAGATCATGGGTCATGGGTCACATACCGTTAAATTGGCTGAACGTTTAACGTGGTTGGAAATCGTCGTAAAATTGCAAAGTTATAATTGTAATTTCGTCTCTGGTAGAGGCACACGAAAGTGGAAACGTAAAAGACAAGATGTAGGGACTGGCGCGTAATAACATGTTTTAATTAAGTACATATTAAGATACGCATATAAGCATTGCAAATAACTTTAATGACAAAGAGAGAACTTGAGTGAATCATATAGAAAAGTGCAGGGTCGAAGTAGGAGAGGGGGAGGGGGTAGGTAGGAAGGTGGTCGTGCAGGTCTATCGTTTAGCACAGCGGCGGGTGGGGTCGATGGGAAGGCAGTGTTGCGGGTGGAGTTATGCACAAAGGCAAGGCACGAGGCAGCTAGAGAACGGGGTCAAAATATTTACCGTGGCGAGTCTGTGGTATTGTTGACACTGGTAGCCCGCCGCCCCTCCGTCTTCACCGCCTGGGAGGTCCCCGCCTCACACACCCAGCTGGGGGCACCCCGAGTCACCTCCTGTAGGATGTCTACTGAGTATGGAAAGTTCTCAAGATTCGTATCAAGTTGAGGTGGCCGTGAAGGGTCCCTGTGGGACAACTTGCGGCTCGCCTGGTGGTAAAGAGACGCAGATAACAATAAAACTTGTCGAGGTTGAGCTGTAGAAGGTTAGGAGTTGAATAACGTGAAGGATTATAAATCAGAAGTGGCAAAAATTGGTCACTGACGGGTTGGAAATAATTCTAATTTTATATTTTTACATCATCATCATCATCATCATCATCAATCATCATCATTATTATTATTAATAATGGTCACCTGATATAAGGTTAGTGTTAGTAATCACCTGATATAAGGTCAGTGTTAATGATCACCTAATATAAGGTCAATATATATATATATATATATATATATATATATATATATATATATATATATATATATATATATATATATATATATATATATATATATATATATATATATATATATATATACTCAGTCTTGTGCGGTGAATTATGGCGAGGGTAAAGATTGGACAGCATCTTTATCCTCCCCATCGATGAAATACTGCAATGGATATATTCCCCTCAGCATACTCTAATACTCATTGCAGATTCTGTCTTCCTTGACAGCTTCTATTCCGTAAGGTAAATCGCTGATTTTACGCCCTGTCTGTTCTGGAGATCAGTTGGCAGGTTCACCTTGAAATATGGTCCAAGACGCCAAAATAGATTGTGAGTGTTGCCGAGGAAGGCTGTACGAGAGAGGACCACCCTCCTGTGATATTTCCGCTGGGTCCGGTAATACGAGTGCGGAAGGATAATTATTTGACGCGAGGTGAGTGATGGCTGCCGACTCGTGCAGGTTTCGACCCTCAATTGGCTCCCGGACCTACCCGAGGCCTCCCGCCTCACTCCTTCATTACACCCCGCTAAGGACAACGCACATTCGTTTGCCAGATGGATTGTCTGCACTTTTTAACCCCCAGTACTTAGGATCCAGGAAATTAATCAGTATCAGATTACGACGGATAACTGGCATTAGTAATCGTCGGGACAAAGTGTTTAAGTGTGTGTCTGAACACGGGGCTATCTACTACACAGATAAACAAGGCCGATCAACATGTGTACTTCTTATCCTCCCTCACAAATGCGTAGTTAACGATGCCACCTTCTGTTTGGAAATGTAGGCAGTGCCGAGGCCAAGAAACGTATGAGATTACAATGGTCCTTTGACTAAACTTTATCACTTAATGTTTACTTTGGCGAAAATACTAAATAGTAATGGTGAGTGTGGCAGACGTCCAAGATCAAGAGGGTTTTTGTGCTGCTCGCCATGTTAACGAGGAGTAGTGACGATGTTTTAGTGAGCAACAGCTCAGGGGTGGACATTTAAAGCTGTTGCCAATATAATAAGAAAATTAATCACTGTGTCGCCACTGCTGCTAATCCTCTCTTAATAACATTAATTCAAAGTCTGCTTTATGTGGTAAATTAAGAGTTAAAACTGAGTGTTTTTATCATTACTTACTGTACATTAAGTGATTTGTGTTGTCTCTTAACAGATTACTAGACAGAATTTGAGTGTAGTGCTACGTTTACATAAAAGTTATATTTTATTGAATGAATATTGTGAGTAAATATTGGACAAAAGTTAGATAACTATCAGTGACGGAGCCGTTTAATGATAAAATCTTGGTTCCAATACGATAGATTTAAAGGTAAATGTAAGGGTCCACCTTAGCTAGCATCCGTCAAGATAAGAGAAGTGTTAGCGTAAATCTGGCCGTTAGTGTTGGCAAGCAACTAACGTGTGGTGTCCCCCGCAGCGGTGTAAGGAGAAGCTCAACACGTTGGCCATCAGCGTCATGAACCAGTGGCCGGGCGTTAAGGTGCGCGTCACCGAGGGCTGGGACGAGGAGCTCCACCACGCCCCACACAGTCTGCACTACGAAGGACGCGCTGTCGACATCACCACCTCCGATAAGGTCAGTGGTAATAGTGATAAGGTGTTGACAGTAACCTGGGATAAGTTTAGGGTTAGTAGTCACCTGAGATAAGGACAGCGTTAGTGGTCACCTGAGATAAGGTCAGTGTTAGTGGTCACCTGATATAAGGTCAATGTTAATGGTCACCTCAGATAAGATCATTGTTAGTAGTCACCTGATAGAAGGTCAGTGTTAATGGTCACCTGATATAAGGTCAGTGTTATGGTCACCTGATATAAGTTCAGTGTTATGGTCACCTGATATAAGGTCAGTGTCATGGTCACCTGATATAAGGTCAGTGTTAATGGTCACCTGATATAAGGTCAGTGTTAGTAATCACCTGATATAAGGTCAGTGTTAATGGTCACCTGATATAAGGTCAGTGTTATGGTCACCTGATATAAGTTCAGTGTTATGGTCACCTGATATAAGGTCAGTGTTATGGTCACCTGATATAAGGTCAGTGTTAATGGTCACCTGGTATAAGGTCAGTGTTAATGGTCACCTGATATAAGTTCAGTGTTATGGTCACCTGATATAAGGTCAGTGTCATGGTCACCTGATATAAGGTCAGTGTTAATGGTCACCTGATATAAGGTCAGTGTTAGTAATCACCTGATATAAGGTCAGTGTTAATGGTCACCTGATATAAGGTCAGTGTTATGGTCACCTGATATAAGTTCAGTGTTATGGTCACCTGATATAAGGTCAGTGTTATGGTCACCTGATATAAGGTCAGTGTTAATGGTCACCTGATATAAGGTCAGTGTTAATGGTCACCTGATATAAGGTCAGTGTTAATGGTCACCTGATATAAGGTTAGTGTTAATGGTCACCTGATATAAGGTCAGTGTTATGGTCCCCTGATATAAGGTCACTGTTAGTAATCACCTGATATAAGGTCAGTGTTAATGGTCACCTGATATAAGATCAATGTTAGTAATCATCTGATATAAGGTCAGTGTTAGTAATCACCTAATATAAGGTCAGTGTTATGGTCACCTGATATAAGGTCAGTGTTAGTTATCACCTGATATAAGGTCAGTGTTAATGGTCACCTGATATAAGGTCAGTGTTAGTAATCACCTGATATAAGGTCAGTGTTATGGTCACCTGATATAAGGTCAGTGTTAGTAATCACCTGATATAAGGTCAGTGTTGTGGTCACCTGATATAAGGTCAGTGTTATGGTCACCTGATATAAGGTCAGTGTTAATGGTCGCCTGATATAAGGTCAGTGTTAATGGTCGCCTGATATAAGGTCAATGTTAATGGTCACCTGAGGTAAGTTTATTATGGTTACCATTTCATTAAAACAATTTATCTTTGCTTTAAATATAATTTTGTTTTTTTTGTTTTTGTTGTTGTTGTTGTTGTTGTTGTTGTTGTTCTTCTTCTTCTTCTTCTTCTTCTTCTTCTTCTTCTCTTCTTCTTCTTCTTCTTCTTTTTCTTCTTCTTCTTCTTCTTCTTCTTCTTCTTATTATTATTATTATTATTATTATTATTATTATTATTATTATTATTATTATTATTATTATTATTATTATTATTACATTATTTGGCTTTCAGTATGGTTGAAATACCTTTAAAATAAATAAAAATGAAAATATTAGTAAATAGATACTTTAAGAAATTTGAATAACAATACAAACAGTCTATCGGCAGTTCCTTGATGGTTGTGCTTACGTTTATTTTAACCATTTTTTCATCGTACTCTATAATACAGGTTAAGACTTGGTATACCAAACACTGCCCTACTTCATCACAATTTACTATTCAAACAATACTCATCCACAGTAGCCCGCTAAAAGAGAATGAACGAGAGCCATAAGCTGAGTGTAAACACACGCTTCAAGTCAAAAGAACCAAGGTGAAAAATTTAGAGCAAATAGACTCTCGAAGGCCAAGGGCCGAAGGTTAAGACACAAGTCAATAGACTCAATTGTTCATTCATCAGGACTCTACTGTGTTGGGAATCGTCAAGTAAGTGAACTCACACAGGGAACAGTTGGTATCATCACAGGAGTGTATTATGCGTTTTGTTTGTGAGTTCAAAGTGGTGGAAGACATAGTGCTAAAGGCGTTTGACCACATGAACTTCATCCTGAGAAAAAATGTGGGTAAAAATACAGTACTGCACCACAATGCTATTAAGTGCTTTCACGATACACTTCTGTAGTGAGGGCGTCTGGCCACATATAGTACACTTCAGTGCTGGAGGCCAATGACTTTACACTTCACTGGGGACTCTAGTCTGGATACTTATCAATTAACAGTCGAGAAAAGTGAGACAAATGTTATTTTCAAATTTATATATTAAATTGCACGAAACGAACCAAAATACCATTGGTAGATAACATTAGCTGCTCTTCAAGAACGGTGCTTTGTGATAAAATTTACATGAAAAGTATCTTTTGCTTACATAAACTCACTCAACGAAGATGAGAAAGCAATCATCTCTAGCCAAAACACTCAAAGAAAATTCTTAAACTTTGTCAATAGTACAATTAAACCGCACAAAAAATACAACAAAAGTGGTTAGAGCCGCCCAGGAGCTCTACAGAGCAGTCGTCAAGTGAAGTCCACTTGAGGAAGGCAGGAGTCCCTGACCCACAGTGAGGCATCCTCGCCACATGTCTTTAGAAGGATGACTTGCATCTTGTGATGATTTGCAATACTTTCATGGTTTCTGAAATGCTAGCGAAGTAGTGAAGCACTCATTACATGTACCACACCGTCTTTTTGCTAATCGTAAGGATAATGAGATTCTGGAGTGAACTTTAGAAGCATTAAAACTTCATGGTCGATGCAGTGTGAGTAATAAACGGGAACAATTTGGAGACTGTACATTGTACAACTACATGGCTGCTGATGTGCCAATAACCTACTGGAATAAATTCTAGTAACACTGAACAAGTACTCCGTATGCCATTACCTTTAGATGGTGTAGATGGTGTTAAACAGCGTAGATGGTGTTAAATCTGAGTGGGGCCGTGTAACCAGTGGGGTTCCCCAGGGGTCAGTATTAGGCCCACTCTTGTTCATAATCTACATAAACGATCTAGATACTGGGATCAACAGTGGCATAAGCAAGTTTGCGGATGACACCAAAATAGGGCGGCAGATTAATTCAGGGCAGGATGCAAATGCATTACAGGAGGATCTAAATAAACTGCAGGGGTGGTCTGAAAAATGGCAAATGAAATTCAACACCAGCAAGTGCAGCGTACTTAATATTGGAAGAACAAATACTGACAATGTATACAGCCTTAACAACATCAACCTAGGGAAGTCGACTTGTGAAAGAGACCTAGGGGTACTTGTAAGCCCGGACCTACGGCCTAGAAAACAGTGCGTTAATGTTCGAAATAAGGCAAACAGAGTATTGGGTTTTATATCTAGAAGTGTAAGTAACAAGAGTGCAGAGGTCTTATTGCAACTATATCTTGCGCTAGTCAGGCCGCACCTCGATTATGCGGTTCAGTTCTGGTGCCCCTATTATAGAATGGGTATAAATTCACTAGAGTCGGTGCAGCGAAGAATAACAAAAATGATTCCGGGACTTAGGAACCTTCCATATCAGGATAGGTTAAAGAAACTTAACTTGCACTCCCTAGAAAGACGAAGAGTGCGGGGAGATATGATAGAAGTGTTTAAGTGGGTGAAAGGAATCAATAAAGGGGATATAGATAAAGTTCTTATAATATCCGAGCAGGATAGGACTCGGAGCAACGGATTCAAGTTGGATAAGTTTAGGTTTAGGAGGGAGATAGGAAGAAACTGGTTCACAAATAGGGTGGTGGACGAGTGGAACAAGCTTAGCAACTTTGTAGTAAGTGCGGGAACTCTGGAAAGTTTCAAAAGGAGGCTAGATAGATTCATGGATTATAGAGAGTGGTAGTAACTCTCGACAGGAGCTGCCATGCACAGGCCAACTGGCCTATTGCAGACTCCTTATTTTCTTATGTTCTTATGTTCTTATGTTCTTATGTTTTAATATACCGTACTTTCAAAATAACAGAAAAGGTTATTAGTTATTTGAAATGGCACTTATGTGGAACGCACATCATGAGCATTACAAAGCATATTATCCTTAAAGGTTCCACAACAAGTATTTTATGTTAATATTCCAGAGTAATCGTTATGGGCGCTGTAGCTACTTCATACGTGCTGGAATGTTAAAAAAAAAATAACCATCACCAGAGGCATTACAGCAGCTTCACGCTGGCTAGCATGCCAGTAACACACCAGAACAATAATTAGAGGCGGTATAATACTATGCTGACTGGAATAACAAGATACTGGAAGAATGGTAACGAGGACCACACAACACCGACACAGTGCTGCATCCTCACTGTTTGTTTATAATACAAAAAGTAAAGATGATTTCGTGCACCGTTATGTTTACTTGGTCCCTCGTGGAACACAGGTGGAACATAGGTGGAACAACAATTAGAAGGCTGATTGTAAGACAAAGAAAGGAAGTAATGATTAATGAGCATGAGTTGACGAAATCCCCTGGATGAGGTGATAAACTCACTGTTAGTCGTGTTAGTTAGCGATGAAACATTTATCTTGTGATGACACGGCCATTGTTACACGATATCAACACTAGGTAGTTGGAGTCGTGTCCGGCTCCGCCACAATGGCCTCGCTAACCGTCGAGTCATACCCAAGAATATTATGACCACTGTAATTTCCTTTCATGCTCTCCTTCGTCTGTGTCTTATCGCGTTATAGTTACTGTGGATTGTCAGGGAGGAATTGATGTGCCTCAAACTAAGTCTCCTTAACTCATTCACCAAAAACCTTCCCCGGTTTAGCACCCAACACCCATCTTCTTCCTTTGTCGACAAAGCTTCATCAGGTCTCGCTTTCCAGCTCACTCACCAGGACCAGTCACTAACCTTATTCACCAGGAATAGTTACCTCATCTTATTCACCAGGACTAGTCTCCTCAGCTTATTCATCAGGACTAGTCACTCAACTCATTCACCAGGACTCGTCATCTAATTCATCTACCAAAATCACCATCCAACTAGATATATCTTATCTTCAAACACAAACACAGGTAATATCGTCATGTCACCTACCATCATCCCACACACCACCATTCACTACCATCATCCCATATACTGTACCACCATTCACTACCATTTGGTGACACTCGGAATCGAGTAGGACGATCATCCAGCTATGATACAATGATATGAATTATTAAATATGTCATTATCATTGTTGAGCTCTGAGGTGACTCGAGGGGTCAACACGGGATCGGCAGGGCCGTCCACAAATGTTGCACGTGTGGAGGGCTACATCTAGTGCGGGAGGGGCGGTAGCAGTGTCTTTCTGGCACTGGCACTTGTCTTCCTCGGTATGCAGTCTGGCTTTAACTCGAAAGAATTGACACCTACTCGTGTGGTGCTCCTCCAAGCGTTAAAGTGTGGAGTGATTGTCTCCTAGGTGAGGGAGTCGATTTGGTACTTTTTCAAGTTTGTCTTAAGACGATCTTTATACATTTTCCATTGTCCACCAGCGTTATGTTTACCATTCGTTAGGTGACTGTAATGTTGCTGCTTTGACAGTCTACTGTCCAACGCAGTTGTTCATGGATAATGGTAGCCTCGATGCTCCCACAGTTGGTGTCAGCAAGAATACTGGCATTTGTTCACTTGTCTTCCCAGCGAACTCGGAGGATGGAGTGTAGATTACTTTGGTGAAAGGTTTCAAGTGCCTTGAGGTGCCTCTTGTACGTGACTTATGTCTCGCTGCCACACAACATACAACAGGGTGGGGAGGACAACTGCTCGATACACGTGCAACTTTGTAGATAATTTCAGCTTCCTGCAGCTGAAGATGTGGTTATGGAGTCTGCTAAAAACTAGAGATGCAAATCTGATCCGATGTTGAATCTCTTCACCGATGTCCGCGGTGGTGGACAGGTGGGAACCAAGGTACTGGAAGTGAGTAACATTAGAGAAGGTAGTACCGTTAAAATGAATGGATGGTGTAGGTGTGGTTGAGCTAGGGACAAGGAGAAAGAGAATCTGAGTCTTACGTTCATTACCTCAAGGCAGAAATGTTCATAAACATCTGCATAGGTGTTTAGGATCTCCTGTACGTCGCATTCAGTGTGAGAGACGAGAGTGAGGTCATCTGCATACTGAAGATCAGTGATAGAAGCAGCCGACACCTTTGTTCCTGCCTGGCGTCGTCCCTTCATCCGGTACTGGATGTCTACCCCACCAGCTAAATTGGCACTGGCACGAGTAAGGAAGGCAGCCAAAAAAATGGAAAAGAGAGTCAGTGCCAGTACACATCCTTGTTTTACTCCTGTTTGGATAGGGAAGAAATCAGACTGGGTGCCACTGTGTAGGACACTGCCGTTCATGCAATTGTGGAGGTGCCTCACAATGGCGATGAATCTTGGTGGGCAGCTAAAACGACTGAAGGTCGGCCAGAGGGCTTTCCTGTTGACCGAGTCGAAGGCCTTAGTAAGGTCAATGAAGGCCATGTACAAGTCACGACGCTGTTCTCTGCACTTTTCCTGTATTTGTCGGGCAGCAAAGATCATGTCAGTGGTGCCACGTGATGGTCTAAAGCCACAGTAAGATTCTGGGAGGAAGTTTTCCGCCTTAGGAAGTAGTCTGTTTAAAACGACTCTGGAGATAATCTTGCCAGCTACGGACAGCAATGAGAGCTTGGGGATTTCCTCCTTCCCCCATATATTTTCCAGAAGAGAGTAGAGAAGGGCTGGGAACCCGAGGTCCTCCTGCTTTATACACCTCGGCTGGGATTCCATCAGGCCCTGAGGCTTTGTTATTTTTCATCTGCTTGATGGCAGTAGCTACCTCATCTAAGGACGGAGGAGAGCTAAGGTGGATAAGCTCTGGGTGCTGAGGAACCTGCTGGGTAGTCAGGACATCCACATTGGTGTTTCGGTTGAGTAGCGAATAGTGCACTTTCCAGCGCTAATGGATGCCTTCTTCAACTCTAATTAGGGAGTTACCATCGGATGAGCAGGATGGGGGGGTGGGGGAGGGGGGGTGGCACGCCATGTGTTTATCCGCAAATTTTTGCATTCCAGACGCTATATTTTCCCACTAGTCGTTTATTAGTTTGTAAACTTCGCCCTGGACCGCCGCCTTCTTCTTGTGGAAGGGTCAGCTTTGGTCCGAGACTTAGGGTTGTTCTACGAGTCATTGAAAGCAGCACGTTTACTATTGACGAGTACTTCGATTTCCGAGTAGTTTTCATCAAATCAATCCTGGTGTTTTCTTTTGATCTGGCCGAGGGTCGGTTTGTAGGTTTTGGTGATGAGAAATTTGACCGGGCTCCATTTGGTACTGGGATTTGGGTTGTTTGTTGCTGGGTTGTTTATCACACCATCGTTGAGCTGTTTTCTGAAACCATGTGCTCCTGCTGGATCCTCCAGTCGCTTAGTGTTGCCTTCGCCGTTTTGGGGCGATTTGAAGGGAGTGTTTGGAATGACGAGCCAATGATCTGTGTCACAGTGGTCTGAGCCACGCATCGCTAGGGTGATGAGGACATCTCAGCGATCTCTTTCTCTGACAATGATGTAGTCAATGAGATGCCTATGTTTGGATCATGGGTGTTGCCAACAACTTTGAACTTGTCGGCCTGCCTAACAAGGTGCTGGTGATAGTGAGGCTGTGTCCAGCATTCTTGCTGAGGTGTAGGCCGTTGGGATTACACTTGTATACTCCGTTTCTCCCATATGTCAGCAACTCTGCCAACTCTGGCATTGCAGTCATCTGGGGATAGAAGTTAGCATTAGCACTCTGTCAAGGTCGGTGTAAAGGCCTCCTTGATGTCATCTTTTACATCCAGTGTTGGGGCGTATGCACTGATAAAGAAGGCATGACGTAAGTGATTCGGTGGGACTTGGAGTGTCATGAGGTGTTCTTTGATCCCAACAGGCATTTCAGTTAGCCTATGTTGGATGGATTAGCGAATGGCAAAGCCAACTCCGTAAATGCAGTTCCTCTCCGCAGCAGGCTTACCCTTCCAGAAGAAGGTATAGCTGGACCCCCGTTCTGTGAGTCGACCCTCGTCCTACACACCACCATTGATTACCATCATCCCACACACCACCATTGATTACCATCATCCCACACGTCACCATTCATTACCATCATCCCACACGCCACCATTAATTACCATCTTCCCACACACCAGCATTAATTACCATCTTCCCACACACCACCATACACTACCATTATCCCACACATAGCCCTTTATTACCTTCATCCCACACACCATAATTCACTTCCACCATTCATTACCACCATCCCACACACCACCATAGCCTTACACTCCATACTACTATTCTACAACTTTCCCCTCCAGAATTATCACTCTCTCACCACCCTGACTCTCCACCACACACGGACTCATCACAATTACTGACACATAATCAAAAATATATTTCATCATCACTTCTTACAATCACTATCAATGCCTTTAATTATTACAACTATCTTCATTCGGTACCGTCTTCACTTACCATTACTCTCTCCACTCACTATCATTACAGCAACTTACTACCATTCCTTACCCACACCCCCACTACTCCCCACTCATCATCACTACCCTACTCATTACCACTGTCCCGTCACCACCACCACCACTGACCCTTCACCACCACTACCCCCTTCACCACCACTCACCACCAATACTCAACAGGACCGGTCGAAGTACGGGATGCTGGCGCGGCTGGCGAGGGAGGCGGGCTTCGACTGGGTCTACTACGAATCCAGGTCTCACATTCACTGCTCAGTCAAGTCAGGTGAGTTCAAGTTTGGTATTTTCCTTAGTATAAGTCTTTAAGAGTTAAAAAAATTAAACAAGATCATGATGCTCCACATGCTGGAGTCATCTGAAGAAGGTTGACGTGGCTGAGTTGGTTCAAGAGGAAGGGGTAGCCTGAAGCTATGACCACAACTTCTGGAGACCATCATGCTGAGAAAATTGAGTGAAAAATATTCCCTGCTATGATTACATACAGCTTTTTTTGCTTAATAGAAGAACTCTTGTCCGCGCTTGCCAGGCTCACACTATAAAGTATCAGTATCTTTCATTGATTTTTTTTATCGTTTTACAGATAACATGGTCAGGAGGTAGGCATGCCCTCGTGGCTCAGATCTGATTTCTTCTGGGTCAATTCTTCGATGTGGGAATCAATGTGGCCTCACTGTTGCTGGGAGAGATGACGGGCCATCCCTGCACTGTTGGTGGGTATGGCCATCTCCCCGCTTCCAGTGTGGCCATCCTAATATTGATGGATTACACAATTATACAGCGTAGTGGGTATGGCCACCCCTGTACTAGGTTAGGGTGTGGCAGGTCCTTGATTACGGGTGGGCGTGGGCGTCTTTCAGAGAGTGAGTAGGTAGAGAAATTCCTTTTACTGTGGACGGCTATGGCCACCCCTGGCTGTTGGTACCATTACTACACTGCACTCTGGGTGTGGTCATGGAAGTGTTCTAGACAGGTGCGGTCCTCCATGTAAAGAGATGGTATGGCCATCCCTGGAGTGTGTGTGAGATAAGGCAAGGTGCGCTCACCCCTCACAACCACAGATGCAAGCATCAGAATGCAGACGTGAGTGCAAACACATTAATTCACTTACACATACGCACAGAAACATATACATACAGTCACAGACTCAGATATTTACACGTTGACACACCCACTCACCTTTACACAAACGCTTACAAACATGTTCACATACACTGGTGTGGAAATACAAACACAGTCATGGATACATTTATCTACAATTTCTTGCTCTCAAATACACACTTAATACACACTCATATGTACGAAAACACACACACACACACACACACACACACACACACACACACACACACACACACACACCAACATGTAGCGACATATGTGTAACACACTAAAAAACATACACCACCACATGTACACCATAAAAAATGTGCATCTTATTAACAAATATACATCACCAGACACCACATTAACATACCTACCACCACACTACATACACACATCACACCAACAATGTACACAGACACACCTCAACACGAACGGTATACCACACTGCACCTCAGTGCACATCACCGCACCACACTACATCACGTTGCAAAATACCACGATGTACTGCACCATAGTGCACCACACTGCACCAAATTGGACCACACAACGTCACAATTCTTCATATTGTACTACACCATGCCAGAGCACACCACACATTGCGTTACAGTGTGCCATACCACACTGTTCCACAGTTTGCCACATATGACCACATCATACTAAACCACACTGCACGATACAACTCTACTTAACATCACACTTCGCCATACCATACCATGAACACTGCACTACTCCACACTCCACCACATGAAATCATAGGACATTACACCACTGCACATGGCACTACACCACACTAATCCACACCACATCACACTGTACCACACTACACAGCAGTACATCGCACCACACAAATTTACACAACACAACTCACAAACCACACCACAACACACAACGTCAAACCTCAGCACTCTTCGACACACCACTGCAAACAACACCCCACCACACCTCAATGAACCACATCAGATCCCACCATACATCACACCATGATTTACCACACACCACACGACAAAGCACCACACTACACTAATCTTTACAACACCATCATACCTCACACTGCATCACACCAGAGCACACCACGTTACATTACACAATACTGCATGGAACCACACCACTCCACTTGAAACTACATCACACCACACTGCATCACACATCACAACATAGTGCACTACGCCACACATCATTATGTTTCGTCACTCAACACCATACCACACTAAACAGCATCATACCACACACACCTCACCGCACCAAACCACACCACATCACATCACACCACATCGCATTACATCACATGACACCACCCTACATATTACTGCACTACACCTCACTATAACCACACCGTGTCTAAACGAACAACACCACAGTGCACTACACGTACTATACCACACCATATTGTATCATACCTAATTACACCACACATACTGCACAACACCATACTGCATCACATTACACTGAACCACACAACACAGCGCTTCACCACACCGTATAGCACCACACCACACTAAACAACACCACATCAAAATTAACCACACTGAATTGCACTGCACCACATTAAATCACATTGTACTACATTATATAGCCCGACACTGTACCAATCAGCACCACATAGTGCTGCAGCACACCATTATCCACTACTTTACACCTCACAACAATATACCATGCTGCACTACACTACACAACTCAACACTACACCACGCTGCACTGAACCACGGTGCACCACACCATACTTCACTACACAACGCCTCTATACAGCACAAATCACAACACTTCACAGTAAATAACTCTGTATCACGCACCACATCACTGCACAACGCTGCACTGCACTGCACCAAACTACATCGCGCTACCTATACTGCATCACACATTACTGCTCAACACCATACCACACTGCTCCATTATACTCCACTGCACTACATAATACCACATCACACATCAAATCACTCTATACCACATTGTACCACACAAAAACTATACAAACTGCACAATACCACTATGCACCATACACCATAGTACCACACTGTGCTACAATAGGCTGCACCATACACACTGCACCATACCTCACTGCACCACAGAACACATTACCACGCTGTGCTTCAATAAGCTGCATCATACAGCACTACAATACATAACACAGTACCACGCTATGCTCCAATAGACTGCACCACACTGACCACCAAGAACAACACCACACCACACAACTAATGCACTACACCATACCACAACACCATTCTGCACCTTGATGCATTACACTGTATCACACCGCACAAGACTGCATGACAATACACAACACTACTACAGTGCACCACACTTCATCACACCGCAAGAAAGTGGGTCTTATGTGTAGACACAACACACTACTATATACTAAACGTCCGAGTCTGAAGGAAGAAATTTGGTCGGCACTGCAATCGACCGCCTTCACTTTCCCAACCCGTAAAGTTAGGTACCCATATACAGCTGGGTGGAATGGGAGTGCCCGGGGATCGAACAACCGACCATTAGGGCAAGAGAAGAGTGCTGTATCCACTTGACCGTCGCACGCTTTACACGATTCAGCATCACATTTCACTGAACTGCATGACACTGCATCACTCGGCAACTCACTGCACCGCTTGTACACCATACACAACACAATGCTTCGCACCATACTGCAATGCGCCTCACTGGCCGCACTATCACACTGCACTGTAGTGTTCCGTCTGTTTTACACCACACCACACCACACCACACCACACCACACCACACCACACCGTACTACAATACATCTAACCACTCCACACTCCACACCACATTGTACCACTGCAACATACTGCATCACACTACACCGCACACCACCAATTACACCACACACACACACACACACACACACACACACACACACACACACACACACACACACGGACCACCCCGGCGCTGGGGAGGGTGACGGACGTATCGCTGGCAGGATCTGAGGAGGTGTGCGCCTCTCCCACAATGTTTCATTCACCTCCACCTGTTGACGGTGATCTCAGAGAGTCTATCTCAGGCTTTACCATCCCTCTCCACTCACCAGAACATCCCTTTCATGCTGATTACCACCTGTTTTATCCATCCCATCGCTCTGGCGTGTTCGAGCGAGCGGGAAAATAGGAGAAATGTGGCATGGGACGAGATAGGAAAGAACAGAACATTGTGGAAGAGCGTGAAGTCTGGCGCGAGTGTGGGAGCCGCGGGCCGCTCATTTTATTCTATCATCTCGTTCAGTATTACAAGGTGCCGGCCAACCCATTATTTGCCTCTTTGTTAACAAGCTCCGGCCCGGGCGTGGAGGAGAAGTGCGGGGCAAGGGGGAAAAGTGTGGGGCATCGAGGGAGAAGCGTGGGGCATGGGGGAGAAGTTTGTGGCATGGGGAAGAAGTGTGGGGCACTCGGGAGAAGTGTGGGGCATGGGGATAAGTGTGGCAGATGAAAGAGAAGTGTGGAGCTTGGGGTAAAAGAGTGGGGCTCGGGGTGAAGTTGGGGCATGGGGAGAAGTGGGAAATGGGGGAAGTGTGGGGCACGATGGAGAGTGTGGGGATGGGGGAGAAGTGTGCGGCATGGGGAGATGGGGGGGAGAAGTGTGGGGCATCGAGGAAAAGCATGGGGCATGGGGGGATTTGTGGCATGGGGAAGAAGTGTGGGGCACTCAGGAGAGTGTGGGGCATGGGGATAAGTGTGACAGATGAAAGAGAAGTGTGGGCTTGGGGTAAGAGTGGGGCTCAGGGTGAAGTTGGGGCATGGGGAAGATGTGGGAGATGGGGAGAAGTGTGGGGCACGATGGAGGATGTGGGGATGGGGGAGAATGTGGGGCATGGGGGGAAGTGTGGGGCATGGGGGAGGGTGTGGGGCATAGGGGGATGGGGGGTGTGGGGCATGGATGCGGGGAATGGGGGAGGTGTGGGGCATGGAGAGGGTGTGGGGCATGGGGGGAAAGAGTGTGGGGTTAAGTGGGGGAGGTGTGGGGCATGGGGGAGAGTGTGGGGAGTGGGAGAAGTGTGGGCATGAGGAAAAGTGTGGGGCAGAGAGGTGTGGGGCATGGGGGGTGTGAGCATGGGGCAGAGTGTGGAGCATAGGGGGGGGTGGGGCATGATTAAACGTGTGGGGCATGGGGAGAGAGTGTGGGGCATGGGGGAGAGTGTGGGACACGGGG